GATCAAAATGGATGTCAGAAGAGACACTGAAACTTGCTCTCCAATGTAGAGATGCTAAAGCAAATGGAAGAAATGAGTAGGTACAAGAGCTGAAAAGAAAAATTCAAAGTTCAGCTTGTAGAGACAAAGTCAAATGTTACAACAGAATGTGCAAAATATGCATCAGAAAACCAAAAGGGAAGAACATGCTCAGCATTTCTCAAGCTGGGGGAACTGAAGAAAAAATTCAAGCCTCAACTTTCATTATTGAAGGAATCTCTGGGCAAATTACTGAAAGATGCAAAAAGCATCAAAAGAAGATGGAAGGACTACACAGAGCCACGTTACCAAAAGGAAGTGGTTGATATTCAACCATTTCAAGAGGTAGCATATGATCAGGAGCCAATGATACTGAAGGAAGAACTCCAAGGTGCTTGAAAAACTGGCAAAGAACAAGGCACCAGGAATTGATGGAATAAAAATTGAAAATTTTCAAGAAAATGAGGAGGCACTGGAGGCACTCACTTATCTATGCCACGAAATTTGGAAGACAACTACCTGGCCAACTGATTGGAAGAGATCCATACTTGTGCCCATTCCAAAGAGAGGTGACCCAAAGGAATGCGGAAATCATCGGACAATATCTTTGCTATCCCATGCAAGTAAAGTTTTGCTAAAGGTAATACAGAAATGGCTGCAAGTATACATTGACAGAGAACTTCCAAGGGTTCAAGCTGGAATCAGAAGAGGCTATGGAAAAGAGGATATTACTGCTGATGTTCAATGGATCTTCACAGAAATCAGAGAATACCAAGAGGATGTTTACTGACTACGCAAAGGCTTTCGATTGTGTGGATCATGACAAGCTATGGACAACATTGTGAAGTATGAGTATTCCCCAACACTTGATTGTGCTCCTGAGAAATCTGTACATGGACCAAGAGGCAGTTGTTTGAATAGAACATGTGGACACTGAATGGTTTAAAATTAACAAGGTGTGCGCCAGGATTGTAGTCTTTCACCATACTTATTCAACCTGTATGCTGAGCAAATAATCTGAGAAGCTGGGTTCTGTGAAGAAAAACGTGGCATCAGGATTGGAGGAAGACTCATTAACAACCTGCGATATGCAGATGATACTACCTTGCTTGCTGAGAATGAAGAGGACTTGAAATACTGATGAAGATCAAAGAGCACAGCCTTCGGTGTGGATTGCATCTCAATGTAAAGAAAACAAAAATTCTCACCACGGGACCAATAAACAACATTCTTATCAATGGAGAAAATAATAAAGTTGTCAAGGGTTTCATTCTTGTTGAATCAATTATCAACACTCATGGAAGCAGTGAACAGGAAAAGGTAAAAACATTTATTGCCTTCTCTGCCCAGGAGTCAAGCTAGAATGTTAATTAGGTTACTGAATGGAACCAATCCTTTGGTTTCCCTCCTGTCTTCCAACAGGTGCACAAGCTAACCTCTCTCTGATTCTGCCCCCATATAAGTCTGCACTGCCCTGTATTTGGCACTCAGTAACTGGAGAAGCTAGCTCCTCTGAGCCAGCAGTCTTAATAAAATCTGAAACTCTGCTTCACCTCTCCAAGTAGCCTCGTTTTCTTCGATGATGGATGAAGAGCTGTTGTGACACTCTAGGGCCCAGGGCTGCTGTGACACTCTCGAATCTAAACTGATGTAACAGTAGCAGTCAAAAAATCCAACGACATATTGCATCGGGCAAATTTGCTGTTTTTAAAAGAGTTTTTAAAGAGTTGAAGAGCAAAGATGTCATCGTGAGGACTAAGGTGCGCCTGACCCAAGCCATGGTATTTTCAATAACCTCATATGCATGCAAAAGCTGGACAGTGAATAAGGAAGACCATAGAAGAACTGATGCTTTTGAGTTACGGTGTTGGAGGAGAATACTGAAAGTACCATGGGCTTCCAGAAGAACAAAGAGATCTGTGCTGGAAGAAGTGCAGCCAGAGTGCTCCTTGGAGGCCAGGATGGCCAAACTTCATCTCTCATCCTTCAGACATATTGTCAGGAAGGACCAGTTGCTGGAGAATGATATCATGTTTGGTAAGGTGGAGGGTCAGAGAAAAAAAGGAAGACCTCCAGCAGATAGATTGGGAAAATGGCAGCATCAATGGGCTTAAGCGTGGCAACAATTGTGAGGATGGCCCAGGACCGGGCAAGTGTTTCATTCTGTTGTGCACAGGGTTGCTATGAGTCGGTAGTGACTCGATGCCACCTAACAGACAGAGAATTCAGAGTTGTAACCAAATAATTAAGCAACAAATTTAAAGTTTTGTGCAATAATATAATATAAACAAAAAGCACAAAGATAATTTACCTCACAATTTTGCCTAAGACGATTTTTACCTAAGAACTGCCTTAGGCAAAACTGATCTTACCCCAAGTTTTAAATAGTTTTATTACCTAGTTTGACTACTCATGAATCAGCACATCGGAATATAAGCCATAATAGACCACTGTGAAATTATTGAGGGAGACCACCACCAGCAGGGATGGCAAACATACAACACAAATTCTGCCATTTCCTTCCTTCTAACCATGCAGAAACCTAGGCATTAATGAGCTGAAATGACTTAGTAGTGAGCCTATAAAGACCAGTTAAAACCTTATTATTTAAATTTACACACCAACCATAAAACTGAAGAATTAGACCAATTTCTTCAGTCTGAAATTGATCAAACATGCAACCAAGATGTACTGATAATTACTGGTAGTGGGGATGCAAAAGTTGTAAACAAAGAGAAAGGACTAGTAATTGGAAAATACGGCCTTCAAGACAGAAATGATGCTGGGGATTGTATGACAGAATTTTGCAAAACCAATGGCTTATTCACTACAAATACCTTTTATAAACAACATAAAACATGACTCTATACATGGACCTCACACAGTAATCAAATTAACAACATCTATGGGAAGAGACCAAGAGAGCTCTGGTAGCGTAGTGGTTACGAATCGGGCTGCGAACCTTAAGGTTAGCGGTTCAAAACTACCAGCCGCTCCGCGGGAGAAAGATGAGGCTTTCTACTCCCGTAAGGACTTACACCCTCGGAAACCCTGTACAGGGTCGCTATGGGTCGGAACCGACTCAACGGCACTTAACAACAACAAATGGGAAGAGACAGTGGAAAAGCTCCATATCAGACAAAATGCTCAAAGGCAACTGTGAAAGTGATCATCAACTGCTCATAAGAAATAGTAGACTGAAGTTGAAGAAAATGAAAACAAGTCCATGAGAGCCATTATATGACCCTAACCATTATCCTACTTGAATATAGAGATCATCACAAGAACAGATTTGATGCATTAGACACTAATGACTGAAGGCCAGAGGAGTTGTGGGAAGACATCAAAAACATCATACAGGAAGAAAGCAAAACTTACAGGAAAGAAAAAAAAAAAGACCAAAATGGATGCCAGAATAGACTCTGAAACTTGCCCTCTAGTTAGTGATGCAAAAGTGACTGGAGGAAACGAGGAAGTAAAAGAGCTGAACAGAAAAATTCAAAGGGCAGTTCAAGAAGACAAAGTGTTATACGGAAATGTGCAAAGAATTGGAGTCAGAAAACCAAAAGGGAAGAACATGCTCAGCATTTCTAAATCTGAAAGAAATGAAGTGAAAATTCAAACCTCAAATTGCAATACTGAAGGACTCTAAGGGAAAAATATTAAATGATGCAGAAACACAGTCATTGTACCAAAAAGAAATGGCCGAAATCAAACCATTTCAAGAGGTAGTGTATGATCAAGAACTGATGGTAGTGAATGAAGAACTCCAAGCTGCACTGATGGGACTGGAACAAAAAACATGGCTCCAGGAATTGACCGAATACAAACAGAAATCTTTCAATAAAATGATGAAGCACTCAAGTTGCTCATTTATCTATGCCAAGAAATTTGGAAGGCAGCTACTTGGTCAATTGATTAGAAGAAACCCTTATTTGTGTCCCTTCGAAAGAGAGATGACACAACAGGATGTGGAAACCATTGAACAATATCATTAGTAGTACATGCAAATAAAATTTTGTTCAAGATAATTAGAAAATGGTTTTAACAGTACATCGACAGTAAACTGCCAGGAATGCAAGTCAGTTTTAGATGAGATCATGGAACTAGCTATATCACTGTTTACACCAGATGGATCTTGGATGAAAGCAGAGAATGCCAGAAAAGATGTTTACTTGTGCATTTTACTGACTATGCAAAGGTCTTTGATTGTGTGGATCATGACAAGCTATGGGTAACACTGTGGAGAATGGCTCCTCCACAAAACGTGCTTGTACTCATTAAGAATGTGTACATAGACCAAGAGGCAGTCATTTGAAATAGAACAAGGGGATACTGAGTGGTTTAAAATCAGGACTTGCCAACACCTAACAAAACAACCCAGGCAGATAACAGCATTCTTTCACATTAAACCCAAATATAGTGTCTTCAGGGAACCTCTATGCACTACAAAATATGTATAACCTACTTGTGATCTCTGATATAGGAAGGACGAGGAACATTAACATTGCAGTAATAAATGAAAACAGAAATGAAAATAAATTTGGATTGATAAAAGAATGGGGGGGAGAGGATGAAATCAAGATGACAGAATCATGCAAAACAATAGAAGAAAGGAAACAGAAACTAATAAATGTTTAATATGTTGTTGTTGTGAAGTGCCGCTGAGTCAACTCTGACTCATAGCGACCCTGGATAGGGTTTCCGAGGAGCAGCTGGTGAGCTTGAACCGCCAACCTTGCACAAATGGCTTTGCAGTCTTGCGCATTAACCTACACTCCACAAAGGCTTAGCAAGAAACCAATTTCTTTCTTGCTTGCTGAAAATTTTAAAAACACCTTTATTTAAGATGTTGTATTTTCCACTGCAACACAGAGCTAATAAAGTGCAATGTTACTTTCTTTCCCTATGCTTTTAACGAGATTCAAGTATTGAGAATGCCCAGAAATACCAGGCATTATTTAGTGCTTGACAAGACACATCATTTAACTGTTGTAATCAATTATTATTAGTATTGCATCAAACAATACTGATTTTATATAAAATTTAACAATAATCGCAAGAACTAATATTTTCTTCTACTTTGTAACTAAGGAGATTAATTTAGAAAAGTTAGATTACTTTCCCACAACAGTAAAGAAAGCAAAGATTAATTTGCTACAAAGACATTTTATAGTGTCTAACTCCAGACTATGTTGCAACCCATTACACCCCTGCCCTCCATAGATAGCAGACCAGTGTTAACATCTCTCCAGCAAGGCATTAAAAATCATATCTCTTTTACTCAATCTCTAAGGACTTCCTTGGGATGAGAAAACAAAGACAAGCTCAGTTATTTCATATGAGTTCCAACTGATACTGTTATTATGGTGGTGGTTATTAGTGCCATAAAATTGGTTCTGAATCACAGTGACCCTGTACAAGGTTTACAAGGAGCAGATGGTGAGTTTGAACCATTGACTCTGAGGTTCAAACCGACCTTGTGGTCCAGTGCTGCATATCACAGTGCCACACCAGGACTCCTGATATTAGCAGACTTAATTCTGAACTTTATCCCCTAAACACACAAAAATGTTCTGTTCAGACACCAATTAAAATTATTTTATGTGATTTCAAAATAAACATACTCAAAAAAGGGGTGTGAGGGGGTCAAAAATCCTGATTTGGTATAGCTGCAATTCATATTATTGAAAGTTCACAGGCAACGAAGGATTAGTCTAATATTTCATGGAACATAAAGTACAATAAGCTAAAATTTATTCTAGGATGATCTAACTAACAAAGGTACACCATACTTACATACCTAAAGCTATCATGAAAGGAGGATACAGTAGACAAAGATCCGTTCTGTAGGTATCATTCACTATCCTCCTGTGGAAATATAAATATCATTATTAAAAAAGAACTACCTCACAAAACAATTGTACATTTACCCCCAGAGAAAGCCCTATTTCCCATCTATGTATACACTTGTTTCTCTTCTGTATTACTGAAGCACAGATACATAAAGGAAAAATTTTAAGGCAAAAAGGTACACAAATGCAACAATGCATAAGCATCTTTTAATGATTATAATTATAGCCATATGTAAATTTGAAAACCTCAAGAAATTATTTATAAAATACGCACATTTTTCAATTTATTAAAAACTAGAAATAAATTAGAGATAGGAAACAAGAAATTATACAAGGAAATCTATTAGGTATATTGTTATCAAGTGTTGTTGAGTCTCTTCCAACTCATAGTTAACCTACATAGGATTTCTGAGCTTAAATTTTTATGGGAGCACAAAGTCTTATCCTTCTCCTGGGGAGCAGCTGGTGGGCTTGAACCTTGTGGTTCACAGTCCAGTGCTTATCCTACAGATCCACTGTGCTCCCCATATGTATACTGAATACCATCAAAAACTATTCTGAAAATTTCAAAGATAATTTGTATCTTTATTTTTGTGCAGACTGCCTTTTAAAATATAAAATAAAATGTTAACAGGTATATATCAAAGAGATAATTTAAGATTATATATATATATACCACTTAGATGCTAAAAAAATTCAGCAGATATTTCAGTCAACATAAGATATGTTAGGACACTAGTTTAATGACTTAATGAAACATCAAGCTTCATATTTAGTTATCAACCTTTCTAGCTAATAACATGTCACACTATTAACAACTTCTGTTCTAATTACCATGCAAGGGGAAGCAACATGTCTTCTTGGCCCATGTCCTGCACATACTGGAGCAAAGGTCTATAAGGATGATACACTATCAAGCAACAATCCTAGAAACAGTTTAAAAAACGTGTATGTTTTAAAACATTACAATACAAACGTTATCATTATACAACTGATTTATAATTGTTTATTTAAAAATTAATTTTTCTAATTCATGCTTGCTTCTCCCTTAGTCTCTTAAGCAAGCAGTAATGGCAGCCCTAAACTCTACTATAATAGTGAAGGCAGTGCTCTCTCTGGAATATACCTTGGTAAATCGGTTGGCAGTCAGTCAGCATCCATTCCCTTAGAGACTCAAAGTGTCACATCTGCAACACACTGAAACCTCTTATTAGCCTATAAATCCGTAATTCCCAACTGGAGGAGCAGAATTCTGCCAAAGACATAATCTATCTTTAAATAACACTGCACACACACACAATTGTGCAAATAATTTACAATGGTTTAATGTCCTGACTGGTTTGCTTTTAATCCTTTCATTATAGTTACTGAGCATAGAATAGAAAATCTCCCCATTTTAAGAAGGATGGATATACAATTTATTTTTACAGGCTTCTGACAGTACACAGAGTACGGTTCTATCAGGTTACTATGATTTTACCACTATGCATCATCACTTGGATAATTTAATAATAGACTTCCCTATATGTCATTTCTTTAAATAAAGATTTTCTGACTTTATTATATTTGAAAATATTAATAACAGGAATATAATACACTTACCATTAGTTCTAAGAGATAAAATTCACATTCTAATATCTGTTTTAAAAAAGAAACAAAAACGCTCAATGATATGTTAACATAAAACCAAATTAGATGACCCTGCCTAGCTAACATAACAATTTATATATTATAGTAATTTATCCTAATTTTTTACTAAAAGATTAGAAAAATTAAGAAAACCAGACCAGGAATTTGCATACAAATGCTTTTTACTAATATCCAATACATGGAATTATAACTATAAAGCATTTTGGTCTTTATAAGGAAAAGTCAGCCTCTTAATACTTATTTTTATTGAAAATATCTTGTATAAATATCAGATTTTCTAATGTTTCCTAACGAGCAAATGCAAAAAAAATGCAATTTTCTCCACTCAAATGTTATACTTGTTATATTATAATCAGTGAACAAATCCTGCACAGGGGGAGGGGAGAAATAAGGACAAGCATATTATAAAGTCAATAGAAAGTCATCCTATAAAATGATAAAGCTTTTCAAAATACTATTTTCACACTGCTTCATCATAATAATTCTCAACCAGAGCTGCACATTAACATTATCTAGATGTTTTTAGAAATTATCAATGACTGGAACCAAACTCTAAAAGCTGATTTTAGTGATCTGGAGAGTTCACAACATCTGAGTTATTTTAAAGTCCCCAAGGTGATATAACAGAGCAGCCAGGGTTGATAAACGTTATGAAATACTACAAAAAAGGAAAAAAAGATAGCTATTTAAGCTTTCATTTAAAGCTAAGGTTGATATTCTGTAGTATCTGAAACTGCCATTTTTAGAAGACTGTTCAGGTTTATCCCACATATAAAAAATGGAGCCAGCTTAGGTATAGTTCTGACAGTTGGTTTTACTTTATGCAATATACTTACATGGTTCATCCTATAAGGAAACTCCTTTGGAAAGGCATATGAAAATCTAGTTTTTACTGCAAAAACAAACAAACAAACAATAACTTAAACTAAGAATATGGGAAAGTGAATAAAACCTAAAAATTTTTTAACACACTGTAAAAAAAGAGCTCTAGGAGGTGCTGAGGGATCCCGTTTGTTCATTTTCCCAGAAGGGGAAAGACTGGGTAGTAGAGAGAGTTGTAGAAGGATAGCTGCTGTCAGAATAGATAAGAGGGTTGGAAGGTGATGGCATGTCTGGCCTCAGCCTCGGGTTGATACTAATGGTCAGACACTGCCTCTACACCCTTTTTGGTGGGTCTGAATTGCCAACACAAGAGCAGTTCATTGCTTACCCTACAGCACCACACCAAGAATCCAAGAACTTCAATTTTATGTACTAAGAAAAGGTTCCGCTGTTTAGAAAATTCAAGGATTGGAAAATATCACTGGCTTTTATCATCTCTAAAATCTTTCCGGCTTAGAATGATAATGTTTTATTCTTCAATATTTAACTTAGAAGGAATACAGGTTATGTATGTGTCCACAAATATTTATTAGATAATATCATATAATATTGGAAGGACAATATACCAGAAAATGTTATCTATGAGATTTAAGGTTACTTTTTGAAAAAACTCATCTACATTTTGTAAACTCTACAGTGAATCCAAACCTACTGTCATTAAGTAGATTCTGACTCCTGGCGACCCTATGGAGGGTTTCCTAGGTTGTAAATCTTTTCAGGAGCAGAAAAACTACTCATCTTTTTCCTGCAAAGAAAAACTGATGCGGTTGAACTGCCAACCTTGTGGTTACTAGTTCAGTGTTTATCCTACATCACCACTGGGGCTCCTTTTATAATGAATAGATACTTCTTTATCCAAAGATATACGTTAAGCACAAACCTTTAGAACTTTTCCCTCTCTCTTAAAAGCTCAGTTACTAAATAAATACAAATTAATACTGACAGGTGTGACAGAATCTGTGACTTGAGTCCTTCCTTTTTGGCCAGGTGAAAGTAACCTCAGAGATTAAAAAGGAATTTTGTTTATTCTCTATATTTTAAAAAAGATTAGTTTATAAACTGAGTATCCTAATGCTAATTTAGATAGGTACCATCTCCTAAAATTTGAGATCTGAGAAAAACTCCAAATACACCCCCAAACCAGTTGCCTTTGTGTCATTTCTTACAATGACTAATTCATCTGTTTCTAAATACAAGTGCACTCCATAGGGTTTTCAAAAAGCAAGCCTTGGAAGTAGATTATGCCAAACCTTTCTTCTAAGGAGCCTCTTGGGTGGATTTGAATCATTAACTTTACAGTTAGTGGCAGAGTGTTTAACCATCTATGATACCCACTGAGCAAATTATGAAATTTATACTCAATCTTTCCTTCTGTTAATTAATTTTTCATCAGATCACAAAACAGTATTAGGACATCATTACATAATTACCAATTACATGGCTACAAAACTGACAAACCACTGGCCCAGTGAAGTTGACACATTGTTCACTAACTGCCAGAAATCCGTCATTAATACACAAAAGACGAAGATATTTTTACTATTTTCATAAATACAAAATGTTGGGTAATGAAAAAATTGGCAAGTGATGAATAGGTGTGTTGTTGTTGTATAGTGTTGTTGAGTCGGTTCTGACCCATAGCGACCCTGTATAGGGTTTCTGAGGAGCTGCTGGTATGCTTGAACAACCGACCTCGCAATTTAAACCCATTTTGCAGTCCAATGCACTAAACCACAGTCCCACACCAGGACTCCGTGCTAGCTAATCAACTAGGTAAAATGATTATCTCTAGTACACAAAACAAATCTACGTCCGAAAAGATTAGATTTTCTGATGCTGTCAAATTCTTTCTTTCACCCTAAAATCGCTCTGCATTTTGGTTTTCTATCTTCTGTTTTCTTTTGACCTGGAGGAAAATGTATTCCTTCTCACTATAGTAGTTACTACCACTTGTGCATTTGATAATTTCTACTTATTTCCTTTACCTTTATTCTTTCCTTCCTCAGTAAATCTGTTCCATTACTTTCTAGTATGCTCAAGTTTTCCTTAAAAAAACAAACAAACAAACAAAAAACCCCACTCTACACCTAATTCTATTGTACACTTTATTTTCTAGGAAAGTTTTAAATTTACAAAAAAGCTGAAGACAACATGGAATATTTCTCTCATACTCTACCTCCCAGTTTTCCCGATTATTTTATACCTTGGTTTATAATTGGTCTCCTGGTGTGGTGCTGTAGGATAAGCACCAAAGCAAGGAGATACTGCTTTGGTGCTAACTAACCACAAGGTAAGCAGTTTAAACCCACCACCACTCCTCAGGAACCCTACACAGGGTTCTCTACGAGTTGAAAGCAACTCGGTGGCACTTAGCAACAAAAAATGGGTTTTGGGAGAGACATTACAAAGTACCGTTTTCATCATATCATATAAAAGGTACATATATCAACATAATTTATCACTGTTTGATACTGACTTTGATAATCTGTTTGAAATGTTAGGTTTCTTTCCCCCTCCCATTTCTATACTACACTTTGCAAGGAAGTTACAATGCACAGCCCACACCAAAAGAGTGGGGATTTATGTTCTATTTGAGATAGCGGTGGTGGTGGTTATGTGCCGTGGAGCCGGTTCCGACCCATAGCGACCCTGCACAGGGTTTCCGAGGCTGTAAATCTTTACGGGAGCAGAAAGGCTGATCTTTCTTCTGTGGAACAGCTGGTAGTTTCAAACTGCTAACCTTGCGGTTCACAGCCCAATTAGTAACTACTATGCTACCAGAGCTCAGAATATAAATTATTTGTACTACTACTTCTGTATGAGAACTATCTCTTCTGCATTTAATCATTTATTTCTGTTCTATTTATTTCATATATTCATGAACTCATGGATATTTATTTATTCTACACTTTGTGCTGTAATTCAATACTAATTAAATATGATTGAATTCAATACTAATTAAATTTCTCCTAGGAGACCTGGCTCCTTAAAATGGAAAACTGTATTAGAAAGATCTGGGTCCTAGATATATCTGTTGCTACTGGGGTGTCATTGCTTGTTGTTGTTGTTATGTGC